CTTATCTGTAACCATAATTCACTCCTTTCATGGATTCATTCTCACATAACTTTTCAATTAGAACAGAGCCACTTCCCCATAAGACCATTTCACTCAAAATAATGCATCAGATGTAGGTACTTATCTCTCATTGACTCATTCATTTCTTGGACCTCCTCAGAGAAGTGGGGAAGAGTGTTTTCATCAGTATTCTCTTAATTGCATTATCTAACTTAGAAAGATAGAGTTTAGTACTAAGGATCAATGCAGTTTTTAGCCTTTATCAGTTCTGACTAAGTTAACTCTGGTTTATTTAAATAAAACGTACATTCAATCTCCAGTTAAACATGGCATGGTGAAAAATCTTTTTTATCTCCTTTCTCTCCTAAGAACACAGTAAATGATATTACAGGAATGAAAACAAAGTTTTAAGCCCATATCAACAAATATAGAAGAAAAAAAAAGAATAGCATAAAAGACATTTATCTGGGGAGAACGTGGAGAGAAATAACTGATTTAACAAGGCGGAGGGAACACAGCCTAAATGCCTCTGGACAGGAATGTTAATGATGAGTGAGCATATTCACCCTGAACATTGTGCTTAGGACTTGGAGGCATAAAGTTCTCCAGTGGGCAAGGATCAAACAAGGAAATTGGTTGAAAACAATATAAAAAGTAGTTAGAACCCCTGATCCTCTCTTTAACCTTCGAAAGCCAGATACTTACTTTCTTCTCCAATCATATTCCACTCCAAGGCAGGTGGTCAAATTTTTACTCTTCAGAGAAATTAACCTGAACAAGTTCTGCACAACCAACATCAAAAAGGCAAAAATAAAAGCCTGCATCTAAAAAAAAAGGAGGGAATATATGAAAGTTTGCAGGGCTGTTCCATACTGCATGGCAGAATTCCAGGATGTCTTTACGTTGAATGGTGGTACCTTCAGATCCTCTTATCCATCCAGCTCCCAGAAGTCCAGCCACCACTCCTCCTCCATGCCTGAAAAGAAGACTAGAAAGTTTAAGGGATTTTCACATATTTATATTTGAAAATTCCCCCAATGACCCAGCCAACTCACCCCGTAATAAAACAGTGTGAGGTAGGGGCCCAATTTCATTGTTTTGCATGTGGATGTCCAGTTGTCCTAGTCCCATTTGTTGAAAACACTTGCACTACTTTTTGTCTTTCTCTGTCCTTCCTCTGCTTGCTTCTGGAGGCATACTCAGCTGTGGAAGTGCATGACAGAAAGGGCACTAAAACAGTAGGTTTGTAGCCCCTCTTCTAGGAGCCAATGGAAACTAGAGAGTGTCAGAGATATTTAAGAGAAGGCTAATTCCCAAGCTATATGAATCTAACTATAAAAAAATACAAAAGTTTTTATAACAAATCAGAGTAGAAGACGGTGTAGGTCCCAGACTGGACAATCAAAACAGGTCCAAATGACACTGCAAAGACTGAAAGACGAACTGCCACTGGAACCACAGCTCATAAGAGATGAGTTAGAACTTGTGGTCTGAAGTTAAGTTAATTGATTGCCTTCTAAAACAAAGAAAAATGCTAAAATTTTCCATAGGATTTAAACGAGATGCAAGAATCTAATAACATAATTTTAAAAATATCCAGGATATAATAAAAAATTACTTGATATATGAAGAATGAAGAAAAATCTCAACAGCTCCCAAGGGAAAAGACAATCAACAGACACCAATGCAAAGATGACCCAAATGTTGGAATTATGAGATAAAGACTTTCAAAGCCCCCATGATAACTGTGCTCCAAGAGCTACAGGTCAATGCTCTTGAAACAAATGGAAAGGATATGACATTTCAGAAGGGAAATAAAAGACATGAGTCTGAATAAAATGGAAACTTTGGAACTGAAAAACACAGGAACCAAAATTGGAAATACACTTGATGGACTCAATAGCAGCATGGAGATGACTGAAGGACATCAGTGAACTTGAACCTAGATCAATAGAAACTACCCAATTTAAATCACAGAGAAAAAATATTGAGAAAAAAAAGAACAAACCCCTCTCCCCAGGTAACTGTGGTAAACTGCCAAAAGGTCTAATTTTCATGTCATCAGAATCCCAGGAGAAAACACGGAAGGTGGTTTAGAAAAAATATTTAAAGAAGTAATGTCTGAAAACTCTGCAAAATACATAACCTTACAAGTTCATAAAGCTCACTAAAACCCAAACACAACAAATTCAAAGAAGTTCATGCCCAAACATATCAGAACCAAACTGCTGCAAACCAAATATCATCCCCTCTCCCCACTTCCCCCTAAATTTATGAAAACAGAAGAAAAAGCATATTATATGTAGGGAATCAATGATCTGAATGACAGTGGATTTCTCATCAGAAACCAAGAAGGCCAGAAAGTAGTAGGACAAGTTTTAAAGAGTTTAAAGAAAACAACTGTCACCCCAGAATTCTATGCCCAGCGAAAATATCCTTTAGGAATGAAGATGAAATAAAGACATTCTCAGATAAAGAAAAACTAGGAGAATTCATCATAAGCACACTTGCTCTAAAGAAAATGCAAAAGCGAGTTGCTAATAGGGAGGGGAATCATATCAGAGGGAAGTTTGAACTTTAAAAATCAAGAAAGAGTAACAGAATTGGTAAATATGTGCCTAAACATATTTTTTCTTCTTAAGTTCTTTGATATATGTAGGATGGTTGAAAGCACAAATTAAAACATTACCTGGTGGGTTTTTTAGTGTGTTTAAGATGTGATACACATGACGGCAACAACAGAGAGGGAGGAAATTCAGGGAGTATATGTTGGTAAGTTTTCTACATTCAATTTGAGGCAGCAAAATATTCATTTTATGTAGACTGTGAAAAGGTAAGTAAACAGATTGTAATATTTTAGAAAAAGTTCTGAAAATATAGTGAGATATAATTTTAAAAAACTAGAAGAAAAATTGAAAGGAATACTAAACATCTTCAGATAGTCTAAAAAAGGTCATTGAGAATAAATAGAAGAATTTAAAATAGATCCAGCTATTCCTCTGCTGAGTATTTATCCAAAGAACATGAAGACATGAATGCCTAAAGATACATGCACCCCTATGTTCGTAGCAGCATTATTCACAATAGTCAAGACCTGGAAGCAACCTAGGTGCCCAGCAAGGGATGAATGGATAAAGAAGATGTGGTATATATACACAATGGAACAACACTCAGCCATAAGAATATACACACAATGGAATCCTACTCAGCCATTAGAAAGGATGAAATCTGGCCATTTGTGACAACATGGATGGAACTTGAGGGTATTATGCTAAGCGAAATAAGTCAGAGGGAGAAACTCAAATACTGTATTATCTCACTCATAAGTAGAAGATGAAAACAACAAACAATCACATAGAGACAGAGATTGGATTGGTGGTTACCAGAGGGGAAGGAGGTAGGGAGGAGAAAAAAGAGGTATTTGGCACATGTGTGTGGTGATGGATTGTAATTAGTCTTTGGGTGGTGAACATGACATAATCCACACAGAAATCAAAATATAATGATTTACACTTTGAATTTATACAATGTTATAAGCCAATGTTACTGTAATAAAGATGAAAAAATATATATATACAATACAAATAAAGGGAAAATATTCTGGGTCCTGACTCAAAGAAAATAACTACATATATTAACCTATTTCTTTTTATTTCTTAGATATATATTGTTTATTTATAGAATTATAATCATATATCTGCAAAATTAATTATCATGTCTTCTTCTAATGCTTAAACATAAGTGCTTTCTCACATTATCTTAGTCTCCGTAAGCATCACTCTCTAGCTGAATTATTTTCAAGAGGTGGCTGTGTCTGAATTCATTAATAGTTCCATTATTTTTAGATATTTAGATGTAGCCAGTTGTCCTCTACTACCATGATACTTTGATGAGTGTTAATTTTTGTATTTTTTTTTGTATTTCCTCTAGTTTGAGATAATGCCACTTTTTCATCAATTGTGGCTATTTTTCAGCTTAAAGTCTCCGCTTATGCAAATAAACAAAATTCATTAAACGTTTAATACTCTAGGAGTTTGACTCATATAATCCTCGATTTTCATTTTCTTCTAAGCCAGCTTTCTTCATCCCCTGATAGAGATACCTCAGCATCCAGTGATTAAATCCTGGCATTCCGCTGCCAGCCCATCTCCATCACAATGTTTCCTGCTCTGCAGTATAACTCGTGATCAACTTTAATTACAGTCATGACCACCTTATATAGCAGAGGCCAAAAGGATGATCACAAATCATGTTTCATAATATTCTTCAGTAAGATCAAGCTGCAGGCTCAAGTAACTAATTTGCATATCATTGCATAGAATTCAAATAGACTTATTTTATCCACTCCCACTCATTAGTCATCTTATTACAGTTTAGAAAATTTATTGACTCTCTGTACCATGAGTTTGCAGGTGAAATTAAGAGGGTAGCATTCCCTTACTAACACAGTTATAATGATGAGAAAAATTTCCCCAGGTTATTTTGTATTCTGCCTGATTTAATTGATTTTATCTCTCATAGGCCATAGATACTTCCTTGGAGCATTTTAATAGGATTTAATTATTTAAGTGGAGACAGTAATAATTATAATTTACTGAATGTGTACTATAAATCTGATACTATGCTGAGTTTAACACAGTATCTCATTTAATTCTACAAAAGTACTCTGAGTATCTATTTTAAACACGTGGGAACTGTTTTAGAGAAGATAGGCAACTGACTGAGGTCATTTTGTTGGCCAGCAGCGGAGCGCAGATCCAAGCTCAGGTTTCCATCACTCCTAAACCAAGACGCTAAACCTGCTGTTTCCTATGGAAATTTCCTTGGGGGTGCCGCGCAGCAAGGGTTGTATCTTGTATATGATATGTGAAGGTAATAGTCTTTTGCATTTACTCACTGGTTTTTAAAACAATATTTAGGGAGAGGCCACTCTCTGATAGCACTAAGCGTCACTTGTAACATCATTCCACATTGACATTCTTGTTTTATTGTTACATAAGGAAACTGTTCAAGTTACCTGCAAAGAACACAAGTTCTCTCTCACCTTTGGACGTTCTCTCCAAGTCCGCTGAACAATGGCTTCAAAACTAAAGACTGTTTCATCTGGGAGAGAAGTTGAATGGATATGTGAGTTTAGTGTAAGCCTGATTCAAAATCTGGAATATGCCAAAGCATGGGCCCTGCTCACTCACAGAAAGCCCTATTCCCAGAAGGCTGGAGCTTTCCTGTTTCTGGTGACTCAGGAAAAAGCGATGTCCAAACATGAACATGGCAGTACTGTGGCTGTGATACAGTGACTCACAGAAATGTGGGTGGAGCAGCTGAAGGCGGTGCAGAAGGAAGGCCTGTTCCTGCCCCTCTTAGGTCACATGCTACCTGCATTGAGGAGTCAGGGAAGGCGGTGCATTTGTTAAGAGAGAAGGTGAAGCAAAGAGCTGAAACCAGACTGCCGGGCCAGATTCTTTCTCCAGATCTCTAGCTGTGTCTTTCACAGAAAGAAAAAGGTTTATGTAACTTACTATATCACAATCAGAAAAGGAAAAAAAGCAAAGGTTATAAATTACCTGCCTCTTTTTTTTCCCTTCAGAAAAACTCAACCTTCTGTAGAGTTTATAGACTCTTTATTAAGGTTTTAGCCATTTGATTATCCAAGAAGTCTAAGGAAATAAAAAATGAAAAGATAAAAGAAAGTAGAAAAGTTAGAGAAAATGATGGGGTTGAGGAATGGGGCAGAAGGAGCAGGCAGAAGTAACGTGCATGTTTTAGAATTGTGTGACCATCTAATGCTTCATTCATATAGAGTGTCCATGCCTGTAAACTCTTAAAGGAAAACTTAATGGCCGGATCCAGATATATGTAACTGTGCAGAAGCTCAATACCAGGATTTTTTGGTTCTTCCTTAAAAAATAATTTATATGAAAGAGATTATATATGTCCATTGTGGGAGAATTAAGTTCAAGGATGAATTTTAAAAAGACAACAAAGAAATTTCTCCACATTGTAGCCAACACTTAGGATCTCCAAACAAACATTTTTTCCAATTGATGGATGATAACTAAATTTATGTCACCTGCTAAGGAGATTGACTCTTTTCATTTATTTATGGTCCTTTTGTATTTCTTATATGTGAACTGCCAATTCTATTGATCAAGATGATTGTGTGGATTTTTCCCACTTTGACCTGATAGATTCCTCGTGTGAACCCTTCTTTCACACTTGCTGCCGATTTACGCCTCGTAGATTGTGCTAGGTGCACAGACTCAATGGTGGATAAGAAAGAGTTCCTGGCCTTGTGGAGCTGGGCCTAATAGAGGAAATAAATACATTAACCAATAATAATAATAGAGATAAGCGCTATGAGAAGGCAAGCAAGCTAGTTATAGAGCTAAGTTAGGTGTGAGCAATGCTGCTTGGAGTGGTTTGAAATATCTTCCTAGAAGGGAAACATGGCAAGCCTTAACAGACAAGAAGAGAAAATACGTATCACGCCAACAAATTTGTAAAGGTATTCCTCAGCCTCTTAACCCTTACTTACTCCCAAGTCACTTGTTAGGCTAAGGACAAAATAAATGCTAGTTTATCGCCTTCCAAGACTTTCACAGGTGGTCCAGCATCTTCTTTGCAGGAATAGGACACCTATTGTTTTGTTCTTAGCCTCTGTGACCTGAACTAACACTGAGACAGAATGAGCTCATTTTAACATCGGATTATACACCTAAATGCCACACTTGCTCTCTAACACTATAGCAAAACTGAATATAAGATTTCCGATTACTCTTCTGATTTATAGACTGGCCCGAATGAGTTGGACTCACTATCTTTCTTTCAGGCAAATTGAAGTTGACATATTATAAAGACACACACTTAATTTCTTTTGGAATCAGGACTTTAGGATATCCAATAAGATAATTATTGGATTAAATCTTTGGGTTTCCAGACTGGTAAAGATATGAAAGCAGAATTTATGGAATGATGCTTCCAGAGCCCGGAGGAGGATGCATGAGAGCCCCTGAATCTCCCAGTATATACATGCTGATGATTTTCATAAATTCTATTTCTAGTTCAAATAGGAACACAGGGTTAGCAAGTGTCCCAGGACCTGTGTCAGAGATGAATGAAGTGTGAAATCAATACCACATAGAAAAAGAGTATTTGGTTAAATGACATGAATTCTTGATGTTCAACCTGTTTTGACCCTAGAATATAGTAATTTCATCTGATTCAAACTAAAATAAATACACGCACAGGGATTACATATACAGTCTAACAGAATTTTCAATACATTTTCAACTCTGAGAGGTAGCTGAGATTTGTCTTCCCAAGCAAGGCGGGGCCCTCTGAATATTTTCCCCGTTGGGGAGTGCACTGACTTCATCACTACCCTACTGTGGACATATATTCAGATTTCACCGAAGACTGAAAACACAAGGAACCCCAACTTCCAAGGACTGACAAGAAATAAGGTCACTGAAAAATATCATTAGATATTGGACTGCTGTATATATGCTGAGAACTTTAGTAGTATTTTTATACTTAGGTTATAGCAGTAAAACAAGTGGGTTGCTTTTGAACAAAGACTGACTATACTCGAGACATGACAGAGGTAGATAAAATGTCAGTGCATTTCCATTTTGATTTAAGCAACCATATGCTTTTCAAATTTTTTCTCATGAAGCTTACAAAAGGGTAAAATCAGTTTTATCCAATTCACCAACTTGGGATACAAATGTGATGACATCTCTTATAATTTGCAATTTGGTTTTTAACTAATTGCTATTTTTACTATTATTAAATAATAATCACTGCTATTTTACAATTATTTGCTAAATAATTTCCCTCTGCCCTAATTTTCAGGATACTCAGCATCTCCTTCATAAAACTATACCAACTTCCATCCTTAATCCCACCAAGAAGCACCTGGGCATGTGGGGCTGCCTGATTTTACAGGGATTAGTCTTACTCACAATGGCAGCAGGTAGATAACTGGGAAGTGTGGTTAGTGCACAAACACCAGGGTTTCCAACAGACCTACCAGTGTTGCTGCCAAACACTGTTGAAGGACAGGACAAAGCATGTATGTCCACTGATGCTGTGATGTCCAGATCCATGCCAGCATCCCAGAGATAGGCAGACTCAAAGACAGACTTGAGCTCCATGGTTCTAGCTCTTTTAGTTCATATACATATGATTAGCCATTGTCCCAAAAGCATGACTCTATGCCCCAATAATTTATTCCAGAGGCCTTTCATTCTTAGTCATGCAAACGCTAGGCCATTGTGTGGAACATACCTTTTTGGCCACTCTCCCTTTACTCAACAGGAATTCTTCCTTCCTACCACGTGAGCTCAGAATCATACCAGGCCTTCTTGAAGCAATTTCTTCTCTGGTCTTCATCCACATATAGTTGTCTTTTTCCTGCTCCTCTTCAAAATCCTCTTTCCTGGCCCCTCCTCCTTTATAAGTTCTCGAAGTGATATGACCTCCATCTGCCTGTGGTTGTTTTCAAATATGGTCTCTCGCTCAGTGAAGTGTTCTAACTGCAAGTCTAGAAATATCATCTGTGTCCTGATGGTCCTCAAATTTATTTCTCCAGACTTGGCCATTCCTCTGAGTTTCACACTCCTACTTGACATCTCCACGTGACTGTTTGCAGGTTTGTGTGTGTGTGTGTGTGTATGTGTGTGTTCTTGCTGCAAACAACAGAACCTACTCTAGCTGAGTAAAGAAGAAAGGGATTTGGTAAAGGATATCAGGTAGCTCACAGACTTTCTGGGAAGAGTAGAAAGTTATGCTTGGGGAATATTTGGCCTGGAAGAACACCCAAATCACACTGCCACTGTACTGCTCCAACAAACACGGCACTGCCACTGAAGGCAGACATGTTAGCTCGTTCTGCTGAGGCCGGACACCGGACTCCGGAACACCTGATGTTGCCCCTTCACAAAGACAGATACAGATAAATGGATTCCACACCTCGTTTGCCTCCTCAAGTAGCTGAGTTCTGCATTGAAGTCTTAGTGGGTGCACCTGATGGCCAGATTTTAGGTCACATGCCTGTCCCAGCTACAGTGGAGCTTAGGAAAGTAAGTGTTCTGATTTCTACTTTTGGAGAAGAGACTCCAAGAATACAAGGACACAAAGGCATGAGAAGAGGGTTCAAAAGGCTGAGCAGCTAGATAATATGACAAATGTCCCCTAGGATGAATAATTAATGTCCCACATTTAACCTGGTCATAACAGAACCATTGATGTTCTCTTAAAAATTCCCTCACTAGCTTCTCACCATTTTCTCTCTTGCACTCGTTCTCCCTTTTCATTCTATCAGTAAATCCTTTTAGTTCTTGGGACAAAATCTACCCTAAACCTGTCCACATCTCTTATATCCACTACTAAAGCATGATCATCTCTTGCTTGAACTATTGCAACAGGCTCCCAAGAGGTCCCCTGCCTTATTCTTGTCCATTTGGTGATGGACCAGCCATCAGAAAGGGTGACATTAAATCTCACAAGAGAAATAATCCCAATGTCTATCCTATTCTTCTTTTTTTGTCCCTGTGCAAATTTTATCACCTCTAAAAGCCTTTCCTATCCGGGAAGCTAGAGAGAAGGTGGAGATGCTCACCTTTCTCCAGGGCAGTGCATCTCTATGAGCTTTATATTTATATGAAAGGGGCTAGTTCAGTGACTGTTCCCAAGAAATTCTGTCCTAGGTGGAAGGACTATGTTGACTCATGCAGAAAAATGCTGGCCAAATTTCTCACTGAAAACTTCTGCTTCTTTGGGTTATACTAGAAAATGTTTTTAATAATGATGATCATTTACAAGGAGACTTCAGCGTTTCATAGATACCACAGAATTACAGATGCTCCCATCAATGATAAATAGCATTAATTAACATACTTTTCTCTTTCAACATAAAATATAATGATTTATATCCCAATAAAGCAAGAATACTCAGTTCTCAGTGACCATTGCAGTGAGGATATTTCTGAAATCTTTAATGTCTCGCCCTCTTGTTCTATTCATCAATCTTTCAGACTTGTTTTTGTTTCCACTTTACTCATAGATGTTTACACTCAAAGAAGTTTTCCTCTCAAAGTACCTACTTTGTTTTTTTTCTGACTTACCAAGGTGCTATTCTGATGTTTGCTTTTATGAATCTTATGGGGTCAGAATGACTGTTGTGTTAAAAATTATTGCATTCAAACATACCAGTGGTGCAACAGTTCTCATATAAACAGAAGGTGGCCTGTTAGATGTCATTAAAGTCTCTCCGTCAGGCTTCCTACCTTCTTCAAATGATACCTTCCTGAATGGAGGCGAATACAGATGATTACAGAAAATTCTACTCATTCTTGCTTCCCAGTCTAATGTTTCCTTTCTGCAGATATCAAGCGTTAGAAGATGTTGCATTATTTACAGTAGGGTATCTTAAAAGCAAATCTCTTTCTTTTCAGTGTCTACACAACTCCCCAATAGTCTTAACTAAAGAATTCAAAAGATCTTGCCCTCTAGGAGTTTCAGGAAAGTTCAAATAAAGTAAAATTTGTAGGCTGGTACTTAAAATGGTATGTTTCTCAGCTCTTCACAGCCTAGTCCATTGAGACAGAATCTCTTCACTCTATGTTTCAAAATTCCTATTTGCTAAAAATGAAGTAGCTCCCAGGAGTTGTTCAAAGACTTAGTTTGTCTGTGTTTATTAGCATGTGCGTCTGTTAAAAAGAAGGTGGCTAGGCTAGGAGGGGCAGGGTTTAACCAAGTTGAACCCAAATGACATTACGAGACATCACATTTTGCTCTTTAGTATGTGAAAAATTCATAAATTTGGTCCCTATGCAGCCAAATAAGTCTAAACTAAGTGTAATCACCAGACTGTATTTGTATTACCGCTGGAGACTTCACGTTTAGTTCACAAATTTGGAATGCTGGGATTTTTTAGAGAAACCCATGAACATAACAGTTTTTCTTTGACAGCAAGTCATTAGAGGTCTACTGGTCATTTAAAAGCAAAGTTAGTTTTCATTTGCATAGCTGCCTGGGTAGGCTGCTGTCGTGATAAACTGCCTGGGTGAGTGCATTTGCAAATG